GCAAAGAAGGCAGTTGTTCACAGAGGCAATTAGCCACACATTTCATTTTCTCCTCCTATTCCTTACTCTTCTTCCTCTGTTGCTCCAGGCATATAGAGACCAATTGTTGTGCCTTGGATGACCACTTGCAAGCTTTTAAGACCCCAGGCACTACACAATGAACTAGGAGGTAGAACAGAAGCACCAAACATGTTATTAGGCCAGTTAACTGGGATGTCCCATGAAACCATGACCATCAACCTCCAAACCAAGGAACCAAATCCCATGAGATGTTTGGTTGTACAGACCAGCCTCAGCTGCCACTCTTTTCTTTTCTGTCATTGTTGTAAATGTATCTATCACATAACTTTTGCCAATTCAACTTTTTACAGGTGTACAACTTACTGATAGCAATTACATTAATCACCTGTGCAACCCTACCCTTAAGCAGTGTGATTTTTCCATCCCCGTAAGCTGAAACTCAATACTCCATAAGCAATAATACCCAGCCCTGGTAACCACTAGTAAACTTTGTTCTCTACACACTTGTCTGTTCTTGTGTTTTTATATAAGTGAGGTCATACAATATTTGTCCTTTTGTGATTGCCTTATTTTACTCAGCATAGTGTCTTCCAGCTCCATCCGTATTGTAGCATGTATCAAGACTTCATTTCTCTTACTGGCTAAGTTCATAGAGTTTTGAATGGCTGACATTTTGGAAGTAGATTGCCAGGCCTTTCTTTTGAGGAATGTCTGGGTGGACTCCAACCTCCAATTTTTCAGTTTGCTGAGCACTGAACCCTTTGTGCCACTCAGGGGCCTGAGAGAGGGGATAGTATGAGGCAATGCTACCTTGTCCTCTTTCATCCACTGTCCCAGTGCTTGCTGCTGCTGAGGACTGGTGTGGAGTGGGTGGAAAGGGATGAGAAGAACAGCCATAGAAACCTCTTGAACTCCTCCTCTCACCACTTCTCCTGAGGATATTGCTAGGTCTGCTGAACCAGAGGGGAAAAAGGGGGGATTCCCTACCCCATCATCCTCCTCCCAACTCCCAAGGGTTTTTCTGGGAAGTCAGTAATTAAAGATGTGAAGAATTGAATGATAGTAACTTTGGCTGTGAAAAGATGGAGACCTAGTGGGCAGAGGTATTTATATAAGGTCAACAGGAGGTTTATTTAAAATGGGAGAGAGTTAAGTAAATCAACATGCACAACATTGGCGGGAGAGGGATAGTTGATGGTCCAGGATTCACGAGGAGGGTAGCTGGTAGGCAGGGCTACAAAAGTGGCAGGACTGTGTGCTATACAGACTCCATTTTCTCTGTGAAATAGAAAACAAGGCCACCTAGTGAGAGGAAGCAACAGGTGAGGGGTTAAGTTTGGGAGTGTTTTAGGAAAGCACTACAGGTTTGAAAGAGCCAAGGGTGATGATCATACTATCAGTTCAATAATTTCACTTTTAGAGTCTATTCTAAGAAAATAATTTCAAGTATGATAAAAATTCAATACTAGATATTTGTTTGTAGGTTTATTTACAATAATTGGAAACAAATGAGAAAAATATACCTACCAAAAAGAGAGTAGTTAAAAATTATGCTACATATACACAAAACAAATTCAAAATGGATTAAGGACCTAAACGTGCAAACTAAAACCATAAAATTTGTGGAAGAAAAAACAGGGGCAATGCTGTCAGGTCTAGCTTTTAACAATGATTTAGCTAATATAATAACAAAAGCACAAACAGCAGAAGAGAATAAATAAATGGGACCGCATAAAAATTTTTAAAATTCATTCATCAAAAGACTTTACAAAAAAAGTGAAAAGACAAACTACCAACTGGGAGAATATCTTTGGAAATTGAATATCTGGCAATAATCTAATAACCAAAATACGTATATAACCGCGACAACTTAACAACAAAAAGACAAATAGCCCAATCATAAAATGGGTGAATGACTTGAATAGACATTTTACCAAAGAGGACATTCATATGGCCGCCAAACACATGAAAACATGCTCAGCATCATTAGCTATCAGAGAGATGCAAATCAAAACCACAATGAGATATCATTTTACTCCCACTAGGATGGCTAAGATTAAAAACACACATACACACACACAAAATAACAAATGTTGTCAAGGATGTAGGAAACCCTTATCCATTGCTGGTGGGAATGCAAAATAGTATAGCCACTATGGAAAACAGTGTGGTGGTTCCTCAAAAAACTAAAAATAGAACTACCGTATGACCCAGCAATTCCACTCCTAGGTATATACCAAAAAGACTTGAAAGCAGAGACTTGTACGCTAATGTTCATTGCAGCACTATTTACAATAGCCAAAAGGTGGAAACAACCTAAATGCCCATCAGCAGATGAATGGATAAGCAAAATATGGTACATACAAACAATGGTATACTACTCAGCCAGTAGGAGAAATGAAGTCTTGATACATACTACAATATGAATGGAGCTGGAAGACTTTATGCTGAGTGAAATAAGTCAATCACAAAAGGACAAATATTATATGAACTCACTTATATATAAAAAGTCCAGAAAAGGCAAATGTATAGAGAACAAAGTTTATTAGTGGTTTCCAGGGGCGGTGAGAAGGGGGCTTAACGATAATGGAACTATCATATTGATTAAGGGTAGGATTGCATAGCCGATTGTTATAAGTGCTGTCAGTTAAGTTGTACACCTGTAAAAAGTTGAATTGGCAGAAGTTGTGTGATAGACATATTTACAACAATGGCAAAAAAAAAAAAAAGAGCAGCTGCTGGGGCTGCTTCTGTACAACCAAACATCTCATGGGATTTGGTTCCTTGGTTTGTAGGTTTAGGGTCATGGTTTCATAGGACATCCCAGTTAATTGGCCTAATAGTGTGTTTAGTACTTTTCTTCTACCTCCTAGTTCATTGCATATTGCCTGAGGTCTTAAAAGCTTTCAAGTGGCCATCCAAGTCACATTTGGTCTCTATTCACCTGGAGCAACAGAGGAAGGAGAGTCAGGAATAGAAGGAGCATATGGAACGTGTGGCTAATTGCCTCCATAAACAACTGCCTCCTTTGCCATGAGACCAGAAGAATTGGACGGTACCCAGCTACCATTTCTGAACATTTTGATCAAAGATTCTATAGAAGTGAGCGGCCATCTAAGATACTCCACAGGTCCTACCCTGTCTGGAGCAAGAGAGAATGAAGAAAACCAAAGACACTGGGAAGGATTAGTCCAAAGGACTGATGGACCACAACTACCACAGCCTCCACCAGACTGAGTCCAGCACAACTACATGGTGCCCAGCTACCACCACCGACTGTTCTGACAGGGATCACAATAGAGGGTCCCGTACCGAGTTGAAGAAAAATGTAGAACAAAATTCTAACTCATAAAAAAAGACCAGACTTACTGGTCTGACAGAGACTGTAGAAACCCCAAGAGTATGGCCCTTGGACACCCTTTTAGCTCATTAATGAAGTCACTCCCGAGGTTCACCCTTCAGCCAAACATTAGACAGGCCCATAAAACAAAATGAGACAAAATGGGCACACCAATCCAGAGGCAAGGACGAGAAAGCAGGAGGGGACAGGAAAGCTGATAATGAGGAACCCAAGGTTGAGAAGGGGAGAGTGTTGACACATTATGGTGTTGGTAACCAATGTCACAAAATGATATGTGTATTAATTGTTTAATGAGAAATTAATTTGCTCTGTAAACCTTCATCTAAAGCACAATTAAAAAAAAAAAAAAACTTCAGGAAAAAAGTTTTAAAAAAAAGATTCTATAGAAGAATCCTGATCAAAAGGGGGAAAATGTAGAAGAGAATTTAAAATTCTATGAACTCCAGACTTCTTGAAGCCATGAAGTTTGGAAAAACCCCTGAAACTATTGTCATGAGATAATCATTAAACCTTAAACCAAAAATATCCCCTGAATTCTTCTTTAAATCAAACAATAGTTTAGCTCAACTAGTAAAGAATGTCTGCCTTGAGCATTATACTCTTTTACCTATGTGGGATTAAATTGACAACAGCAACTTGAAAGATTAGATAGGAACCTTAGGGGGCAGTGATTTTATGTTAATGAGGGAGGAACAACTCAGAAAAAGATGGTGAGAATGGTTTCACAACTCAAAGAATGTTATCGATGTCACTGAACTGTACATGCAGAAACTATTGAATTGGTGTAAGTTTTGCTGTGTATATTCTCCACAACAACAACAAAATAAATAAACAATTGTTAAAAATTATTCTACAGAATTTAATTTAAATGATGTTTTAGAAATATTGTTTAATGCTATAGTGAAATACTTGTGGCACAACAGTAAGTATTAAAAGCAGGATTTAGAATTTCATATAAGGTATTATATATGGCCACCACCCATCTTTCATTTTGTCATACTGTGGTAGCATGTCACTATGATGCTGAAAGCTATGCCACTGGTATTTCAAATACCAGCAGGATCACCCACGGAAGACAGGTTTCAGTAGAGCTCCAGACTAAGACAGACTAGGAACAAAGGCCTGTCGATCTACTTCTGAAAATTAGCCAATGAAAACTCTATGGATCACAACAGCATATTATCCAAAATAGTGCTGGAAGATGAGCCCCCTAGGTCAGAAGGCACTATATAATGGCGGCAACAGTGGACTCAACATACACCAACAATCATGGAGATGGTGCAGGACCAGGCAGCATTTCATTATGTTGTACATTGGGTCACCATGAGTCAGCAACTAACAACAATAACTATATACAGATTAGTTACAATGAAATAAAGGAAAATATTAGTAGATGCACTCTCTTGAGTGGTAGTATATAAATCATTGCTATTTTCTTCTTTTACCTTTTCCAAAAATTTTCATAATGAATATATTTACTTTTAAAATCAAAACAATAATTTTAAAGTCTTTTTATACATTTATAGAAAATTGCTTTAAGCAAACAATTGCATGTTTCCTATTGCTACTGTTTTAAGTGGGTATATTTAATGTCCAAATTCCATTTTGTCTTTCCTAGGTCATCCTGAAATTTTTCCTTTAGTATTAACTACCAAGACTCAGGAAATATTTAACTGCCGAGTAAATGAAGATTTCACAGGTGAACAACCTTATAAACTTCTCAAAAAAGAAGATATTATTGAGGACTTGCACAACAGAGCTGCAGTATCTGATTTCTACCCAGTCAAAAAAATTGTCCAGGTAAGTACAATGTTGCTCTTTATTTTTCAGTTCTACCTCAAAAGATTCATTTTCCCGATACATAATAACAAAAGTTGGAGAGAGTGTTGAGTTAAATGTGACATTTCACATTACTTTGGACAAATGATAGTTTGTCCACACCTCCTTTGGAGTCCTGTTTGATGATCCTCTGTGAAAAGCAAAGTCCCATCAGGAACTGGTTGTATTATCTCACACCTAGAAAGCTTATCCTTGCCCAGTTTTAACTAGAAAGAAATGTACCTTTATTTTCCTATGTTGATTAATTCATAACTTTGGTCCTGATGTTTCTCCAAACATGCTATAGAGAACAATGCCAAATAAAAGTAATGCTTCTTTTTCCCTTTTAGAATGAAATTCTACAGTAAATTTCCCTGGACCCATTGTGTTTTAAGCGCTTTTTTAAGTTAATAAAATAATTATGCAGTTGGGGGTTATTCGTGGTGGTTCAGTGGTAGAATTTTCACCTTCCATGGGAGAGACTAAAAACCCATTGTTGTCAAGTCGAATTCCGACTCATATTAACCCTATACCCAGGTTCAATTCCCGGCCAGTGCACCTCATGTGCAGCCACCATCCGTCCGTCAGCGAAGGCTTACATGTAGCTATGATGCTGAACAGATTTCAGTAGAGCTTCCAGACTAAAATGGACTAGGAAGGAAGGCCTGGTGATTTAATTATAACAATCAACCAATTAAAACCTTATAGATCACAAAAGTTTGATCTGCAGCCAATCATGGGGATGGCACAGGACGGGACAGCTCTTCATTCTGTTGTGCATGGGGTCCCCATGAGTGGGGGGCCAGCTCAACAGCAGCTAACAACACAATAACAACAACCATAGATTAGCAGTATGGTTATCTTTTATAGTCTATGACTGATTTATTAGAGAAGTATCAATTTTGTGTGTCAGTGTCTGAATAAACTGAACGTCTATTAAACATTAACTTTTGATTATATTCCTTTAGGAATATCCTGGAAGTGAGCTTCTGCTTGTTTATGACAAAGACTTCAAATATGGACTTAACTTTTATCTTATTGGAACTGAAGAGGGCAAGGAAAGCTATTTAAATGTAAGTGTACCCCCAAATTCTTGCAATCTGTTGACTGTCAAAGGAAGCTGTATCCCCAGAGGGAGCCCTATATGTGATTAGGATTATTCTCATTCATCTCTGTTTCCCTGGCACCTGGAGTAAGTGAACAGTGAATGTGGGAGGAACTAAATCAGACATCTCAGGGTAGCAGATACTTTACTTATTCACCTGTCATTGACCCAATGAGAGAAGAAATAGTGACTCTGTCCTCAGCCACTTCCTGTCCCATACTCCCAGTTCTTCTTTTGCCATCTCTATGGCTTTGGGTAAGTTAATTGAACCTCTCTTCTATAAAATGGTGGCACTGATACTGCCCATTTCCAGGACTGTCTTGAGCATTGAATGGACTAAGACAGGTAAAGCCCTTTGAGTAGTACCTGGCACAACCTAGGTGTTCCATAGAAGTTTTCTGTGGTTATATAAAGGCAAAAATTTAAAAGTATGACTTGGTCAGAGGCAAATGAGAGACAGGGAGGTGTCAAAGATGAGCAAAATGGCAGTTTTCAAGGAAAGATAGTAAGCTCACCTTTGAGGTGTTGCATTCAAGGTGGTCATGACAGATAATGAGGTTTATGAAACTTGCCTTTCGATCTTGCATCCTTGTAGGAAGATGAGTAGCTATTCTACTAAAGATTTGGTCAAATTGTTTGAGGGAAACAGAGAGGTTTGCTTGGCCAGCCAATAAGCAAGAAAAATAAAGGAAAACCTTAGAATTTAAAAATATTTGACAGTTTTTTTAATTAAAAGTAATCTTTCACTTAGCCTTAGAATTTTTAATACTGAGGAGGTGGGGTCAAGATGGCAGAGTAGTCAGATGCCTCTGATGGACCCTCTTACAACAAAGACCTGAAAAAACAAGTGAATCAATTATATATGACAATCTAGAGCCCTGAACATCTAAGACAAAGTTGAGGAACCTGACTGAGTGGCAGGGGAGGGAGAGATGGTTCAGAAGCAGCAAGGAGTTGCCAAACCTGACCTGGTAAGAGCCTGAGCCCTTCAGGCCTAAGTAGCTCATGGGTGAGCGGTGAAGCAGGCAAGCAGCAGTGCTTGGGAGGTGCGTTTTCCGTACCAGGTGAGACCCAGTGCCAGAGAGACTACTTGGTCACCCAGAACCAGTGAGAAGCAGCCCTGGATTGGCGAAAGATAAGTACTTGCATACGGCCTACCATGCAGATCAAAAACACCCCCCTTAGGGAAAAACCTCTCTCCCATTTACCTCCCTGCTCCCTGCTCCGCAATGGGTCCTGGACCGGCTTCAGCAATTGCCGACTCCCCTGGGCTGGAAGTAGGATCCGTCACATGCCATGAACCATTCTCCTGGCCTTAGAGAGTGAAAAAATTAACAAACAGGAAAAAATAAACTGCCAGATCCCCTAAGCCAGGAACCCACAGTAGGCACAGCTCCTTTGCCTAGGCACAAGCATAAGGCATCCACAGACTTTGAGTGCCTTTCCCTCTGCAGAGACTTGTGTGGACCCATTTCAACAGCATAGGCCCTCATTACCACAGTATGACAGGGTATATACCTGAAGTCTAACTTCAACTGATTCAGCCGTTAAGTGGCAGATTCATGACATTTGACACTGCTCTGCCCATTAAACATGGTCTTCGTCTACCCATATCAGGGGCCTGAAGACTGGTGGCTCCACCCATGCCACCTAGCCACCTAGCCACCTGTGAGAGGGGTGCAAGAATAAGAGGTGCTCCCCAGTCCTTACAACCAATAGCATTGGGTGCTCATAGTCTGGCTACAAAACCCACGCACCTGCGTGCTCTAGGAAAAAGGGACATGCCTTCCTCCTGGACACTCGGGGGTGGCCGTCAGCCCCCTACCTTGCTCAGAGTGTGTCACCCGGCTACAGCCAGATGCCTGTGCCTACACCAATCACTGATGCCTGTCTAGGACTGTAGGTGAGAGCCTACACCACACACTTGGTAGCTATCTACCTGGGCACCTGAGCTGAATCCATACAGGAGGAGTGGGTGAACTCTTGAGCTCATATACCTAGTAACAGATCTAACCACTTGGTGACAGGACATTAGAGCTTCAAAGGTGCCAGTTATCAAACTAGCTCATACAAGCAGCCTATTTGGGCATATCAAAACAAAACAAGAAGCTAGGACACAGTAAGCAAACATAAAATAAATAAATATAATAATTTATTCATGGCTCGGAGAGAGCAGTCAATATCAAATCACATAAAAAGGCAATCCATGATGGCTTCAGCAAGCTCCCAAAATAATCTAGAAATTTTCCAGAGGATGAAAATTTCTTGGAATTACCAGAGGCAAAATACAAAAGATTAATATACAGAACTTTTCAAGAAATTAGGAAGGAAATTAAGCAAAACGCAGAACATGCAATAGAGGGAATTAAAAAGATTAAAGAAGAGCATAATGACAATTTAACAGGCTGCAAGAATCCATACAGAGACAACAATCAGAAATCCAGCAGATTAAAAATAAAATTTCAGAATTAGACAACTCAATAAAAAGTCATAGGAACAGAATTGAGGCAATGGAAGTCAGAATTAGTGAGACTGAAGATAAAGCGCTTGACACCAACTTATTTGAGGAAAAATCAGATAAAAGGATTTTAAAAAATGAAGAAACCATAAGAAT